TATAATATATGCACTTATTATATTCATTAGTCTTATAGTCATTCTCAAGCATGCAGGAATCAAATTTCTCATGTCACTGTTTGATAAAAGTGGAAAGTTGTCTCCGAGGTTTATTGGGCCTTTCGAGATATTTGAGAGAATTAGGGAAGTGGCATATCGGTTGGCTTAATTACCGCCACAACTTTCGGGGTTCACAACTTCTTGCATGTGTCGATGCTTAGGAAGTACGAACCCGACCATTCTCATGTGCTAGATTGGGTTGATTTGGAGGTGGATGAAGATGCCTCTTACAAAGAGCGACTGGTTCAAATACTAGATACCCGAGAGCAATTGTTACGGGATAAAACTATACCGTTAGTGAAGGTGTTGTGGAGACATCATGGGGCTGAAGAAGCAACGTGGAAGCGGAAAGCGGAAGTTCGCTCCAAGTACCCGAATTTATTTGAACATGCCTAAGTTGTCTTTCACTAGTGTTATTCCCTAGGGTTATGGGGAAATGTATTGAAAATTGTTAAGTACATGTTGTATGCATTGTTGTTTTAAGCATGAGATTGTTGTGAGTTGTTACCATTTTGTTGAAGAAACTCCATGCACATGCTTATTTGGAATGGTCGTTGCTAGTGTAATAACCACGATGTTGATGATGAAATTGAATTGAGAATTAATGTTGTGATTTGAAACAACAACTCATATGGTTTTGACCACTTGTTATCTTTACCTTGTTGGGTAGTTCGTTTAAATTTCGGGGACTAAATTTTCTATGGTGGGGAGGTTGTGATGACCGGGTGTATTAGTTGCTCCGTTCTCCTTTGTTTAACTTTGGGTTTGTGGTGTCCTGAAGTTGTTTCTCAGATAAATTCTCATTCTTGTTTGTTCGGTGTTAATTTTCACTTGTTTCAGAGAGTGCGAGGCTAGGTCTGAAGTGCCTAGAATTGAGCTAGGAAAATTATGGGCTGGGGAAATAGGGCTGCACGTGCAAGGCCTTGGGCCGTACGTGCGGAAGAGGGGCCGCACGTGTGGAATTCAAGGGATGTTTGGGCAGTACACTGCAATATATGCAGGTGCTGGAGGAGGTGTGGCATGGGAAGGCCGCACGTGCGGTGTTGAGGGCCGCACGTGCGGGGTACGGGGGGTAGGCTCCGCACGTACGGGACGCTGGCAATCTGAAAACTCTGCTTTTTTCTTTCTTTTGGGTTGAATGTATATCATTTCTAAACATTCCCTTCTCACTCTAAAAAGTGTTTTGCTATTCCATCTCTCTAAAAACCTCCACTATGCACCCAAAATCCTTGATTTCTTACAATCCCTTGGGTCTAGATCCATCATCTCTCACAAGTTTTGAAGATCAAAGCTAGAGCTTCACTTTGTGTAATGGAGATCAAAAAAATTCTCACCTTTTGATTCTAGGGTTTCTTCTCTCATCTTCTCCAAGACTTGAGGTAGGGACTTCCTTGAGTTATATATACATGTTTTGCATTATTGATGTTGATTTAAAGGTTTTCTTGAAGCTACTATTTTGGTTTTGATTTTATGGCTCAAAATGCAGAGATTTTCAAAAGTGAGTTTCAAAAATCTCAAATCCTTTTAAGATGGCATCTTGAGGGTTGAATATATCTTAGGTAAGGAAGGGGTGTGTTCTTGAGGGTCCCTTTCAAGTGTTTAGTATGTGTGTGTGTGTGTGTGTGTAGTTTGTAAAGTAGAAAACCTAGAAGTTTTGTGGGGGTTTCCTTGAATAAAAGAAGATGAGGGTTTTATGGGTGATATTATATATATATATATATATATAAATCCATGGTGGTGAGCCATGATAAGTAAAGAAAGTGGAGGGTTTCCTTGTTTAATTACAAATGCATATATATATAGTGATGTTGGGCTTCTCTACACATGAAAATTATTGAGAATGGAGATTGTTGTTTAAATTTTGCAATAGTTTAAAATGATGAAAATGATGGAAGTGCACTAATTGTGGGCATGTTGTTGTATTATTGATAAGTGGTAGCAAACTTTGGGCTATTTGTGGAATAACATTGCAAGGAGAAAAAGGAAATTTGATCATTATAGTTTATTGTTAATATTATGTTGAAAGTGGACAATTATGGCATTGCATACTCATTCAATCGATCATTACAAGGTTTTATTTAGCTTTGGCATATTGTATAGACATTTCTAGCATTATATTGTTGCAAGTTTTGAGTTGAGATTTAACATCATTTATTTTGAGAAAGGAATAATGTGAAATGATATTATTGAAATATTTTGGGGTAAATATGTTGGTAAATCCGAATAGGAGGTGTAGATAAAACTGATTAAGTTGGCCTGAGTGTCCGGGGTGAAAGACCGAAAACACGCGCGAAGGAGGTACCACTTCCCTTCTAGTTAGCAATCAATAAAGTGGGGTTTGGTAGTGCTAGTTGAGCCTACTTGCAGACACCAACCTAGGGATTACCTGAGTCGTATTTACCGCCCCTATTGATTAAAATTGGAAGTTTCGAAATTGTTGAGATTTTAATTGTTGTTGAACATGGTGAGTTTAAAAAACAAATAATGTAAATGAAATTCTTTTTAAAATGGCATTGCCTGGCATTTGCATTTAACATTTGGAATTTGCATAACTGTATATACTTTATAAGGATTCTCTACTGGGCTTTATGCTCACCCCTATGGGATTTTGGTGCAGGAAAAGATATGGTGATCCTGCCGAATTGAGGGAGTGGATATATTTTTGTGAAGAGTAGATGACTCTATTTTGCTGTGAATTTAATTGTTAGCCAAGGGCTTTAAATGTATGGGTTCGTGAAACCATTTTTGTGTAACTTGGCTCAATGCCTTGGAAGATGTAAGCCCTTAAGGGCATTTTATTTATTTTTGGGATTTGATGCTCCACATGCTATAAATTCATGTATTTTCATACCATTGAATGTATAATTCGCATGTGGAACTTTTGTATAAACTTGTTAATTAACTATGGAAAGATGGGAGAATTGTTATTATTGTTCAGTGGACGCGGATTGATGTATTAAGTTTTATGTCTGATTATTTCGGGGCGTTACACTCCTCTCCCGTGTGACAGCCAATAGGCCCTTCCCTCTGTTCTACCTCCTTGGTACATACTCCATTATCTTTGATGTATCCTTCATTCCACTTTGTCTCTTCAATAATTGTGTTTACCGCCATTCCACTGTTGGGACTGTGTACTTTGACTCCTGCCACCTCAACATCTTCTTCATTCTCCTTGCAACACTCCTCCGGAACATTTCCTTTCACTTCACTGCCACAGATGTCGTTGGAGCTGCTCTCTTCCATGCCATTGTGCTTCATGTTACTAGAGTCTGATAGAAGATCTTCACACACAAGAATGGGATGAAGTTTACCCTTACACTCCAGTGCTATAGTTTTGTTTATAAACTCCATACAAGATGTAACCACTCTGATTTTGGTATGGGAGAATTTCTTTGGTTGACAAATATCTCCATCCAAATTGAGAACTGAACCCCATAGGCTTCCAATCTTGTTAAATGTGCTCCTATTTCAAAGATTTAAGGGTATGCCATGACATCTCAACCACACACATCTCTTTTGTTCAACATGAACTCCTGGCTTCCATTCCACCACAAACTGAATCCAATCCTTAAACCATGCTTTGATATTGTGTATATTTGATTTCAACTCCTCTTGAGATTTGAAGGTTAAAACTATATCTCGTCCTCCCCATTTTCTGACCAATACCTGATCTACCACTTTCTCCTTCAGGGCATTTTCAATGTAATGAGTGGAGTATTCAGTATTAAGCCTGACTATTGTACTATCATAGAGCCAGCCATGGCCATCATTATTGACTTTTAAGCTCAAACTTGCTTTCCTAGCCACAGTGGGTGAGACCCCTTTTAGTACCTCAGCAAAGGATCTTTGGCCTGCAAAAGAAACTTCAACCATGTTTCTGCTTGTTTCAAAATGTTTCTTGATGATCTGAGGCCTACTCCTGACTTGGTGAACCTTCTTACAGACTTGGTTATTTCAAAAACTTTCAACGTTCAAGATCTATTCAAGTTTCATGCATCTCCATCTTCTATCATTCTTGTGAAATTCGAGGACTAGTTTTTTATTTTTTATTTTTTATGGAGTTAGATGTAGAAAAAAATTCTATAATTTTTATATTTCTTAATTTTATTATTTTGAAATTAGATTTTGACTAGGATTTTAAATAGTTTAGGATTTTTGCTTTCTAATCTTTTAGGTTTTTTAATTTGTATTGATTTAAGTTTCCTAATTTATTTTAGAATCATTTTTCCTACAAGTAATAAGTTTAGTTTATTATAAATAAGCCTACAAGTATATGTAATTCATTTATTCATTCGATCAATAGTATTTTTAGAGAATTTTTTTTTTCTTTCTTGTGAATTTAAGAAGTCTCATCTACTACAATGATATCTAATCCCCATTTTGTCTACTATAACGATATTTAATTCCTTTCTACACTATCGCTGCGTCAAATTTGGACCAACTAGAGCGTCTCTAACCTTATATCAAATATTTCATCAAATTTAAATTCGATGAAATGCACCTATTTTTTGTGCTCCAATGCTGACATCAAAACCATATCAAATGAGGAAAAAATCAAAAAGTTTATCAAATTGAAGAAGGCTTCATTGCTCATCAAATTACTGTAGATAAAAGTTGGCGATTGTATACCGAACAACCGGCCGTTGTCCATTTCAGAATTTCGTCAATTTACACTAGTCGGACGACCGGGTGAACATCCTCCCGGATGTCCACCGGTCAACCGGTTGTTTGATGTAAATTGAAAAATCAACATTGGAGCACATTGTATCAACGAAATTTTTACTCAAATTTGATAAAAAATTTGAATAAGCGTTGGAGATACTCTTATGTACAAATTCTGAAATCAAATGAAATTTTTTTGTAACAAATGAAAGTACATGGACTAAATTTACACAAGGGACATTATATAGACCAATGTAATTTATTTTATGTGTCATTGTTCCATTTTCCCAAATAGATGTGACTATTCTTTAAAAAGAAAATATTAACAGAAAAATTATTGCTAACGAAATTACAGGATCAAATTTACATAAGTGGTACACTCTATTATAATTTGCCCAATACAATTTTAAGGAGAAGAAGTAATTGCATGCAAAATAAAATGCAAAAGTGACTAGTGAAAAAGTTTAAAATGTATAGAAAATTCATGAAAATGTTGCACACAAAGAATCTGAGAGTCAAGCATTAGTGTGGTTGGTTATCTCTGATTCAGTGGAGCAGGATGAGGGCTTAGGCAGGGTTCCACAGTCATAACGAATAACATCCTTGATCTTCTTGGAGAGAAATCTATAGTGTATCATATCTCTAATGAACTGCATCCACCATCCAGACCCATATTGTTGCAGTACCCAGCCTGAGAGATATGAAGCAGTGATCAACTCGGCTGCACGCCATCTCCGCTCCTTCACGTAGCCGTCTATGGCCTTGTTGGCGTCTTCAGGGACAAACTTGCCATTTCGAATGCAGGATTCGCCAATGTTTCGGCCTAAGGCAACTGCATCCTCTAAGGCAGAACAACCACCTTGGCCTAGATCAGGTGTCATAGGGTGCATGGCATCTCCAGCAACTGTGATAGTCCCTTTGCTTACATTTCCAAATAGTATCTCCCATGGATATCTCAACAGAAGTGGGGCACAAGTAAGTGTTGAAGGATCACAGTGACCAACAACATCCAAGTATGCTGGAGGGAAGTTCTTGGCATGCTTGTCCAACACCTCTCTTTGTATCAAATCTACTTCTTCTCCTGCCATGTTTTTCTTAGAATATTAATTGTAAATTTATTTTCAAAGGATATTATTTGTTAAGCTTTTGTAATTGTAAATTATTTTTTATTTTTTATTTTTAATTGTAAGCTTTGGTTTTGGTTTGTGGAGGTTGTGAATTGTGATAAGAAAAAAACAGTTGGGTTTTTAACAAAAAATGTGACAAAAAAATGATTTTGTGTGTGCACGCATTTCGAGGCACTTCATTTTCATCTATTGGCCTCTTATGTAAGTGTGGCTGAGGCTCTCTCATGTTAGTATAAGTCTATGTTGCATTCTATATGCCATTTCCATGTCATTTGCATTGCGCATGTCATTGCCTCGGTTTGCGTGCCCATGTGCACGCATTTCGAAGCACCTCATATTGCATTGCGTATGCCATTGCCTCGGTTTGCGTGCCCGTGCGCATGCATTTCGAGGCACTTCATTTTCATCCATCGGCCTCTTACGTGAGTGTGGCTGAGGCCCTCTCATGTTAGTATAAGTCCATATTGCATTCTGTATGTCATTTTAGCCATATTGCATTACGTATGCCATTGCCTCGGTTTGCGTGCCCGTATGCACGCATTTCGAGGCACTTCATTTTCATCCATATGGCCTCCTATGTGAGTGTGGCTGAGGCTCTCTCATGTTGGTGTAAGCCCATTATTGCATTGCGTATGCCATTTCATCCATAGCATTGTATATGCTCGGTTGTGTATTACCTCGTGCAGCGTGTATGCCATTCCATGACATTGTGTATGTTAGGATTGTATCTTAGTTGCATTTCACGCATGTCATGCATATTGCATCGTGTTCGGGATAGGAGTTAGCCTGGGCACGGAAACGAGGTGCGTTTCGTACTCCGAGTGACGTAACGCGTCTCAATTCCCCAGTCACCGACACTCCGGATTATCCATGATGGAGCTAGGTTTAACTGTGTCTTTATGTGCATTCATCCTATATTGAATTGCGCAATTTGACTCCTCGGCCATCATGCATTGATATGCGTGATTGGTGGCACGAGGATCGAGGCATGCATATATCTGTGCAAATACATTGCTATGCCCCTTTCCTGCTCTCTGTTGCAGCAAAATGAAGAATCAGCAACTTTTCGGAGCTTGGCAGGCTTTCCAAGAATAACTGCTAAACAGAGGCTAATTGGGGCATCCCGGTGGATTTCCGCGCAAGACAACCCGGACATGCATCATTCATTAGAAGCAAGGCAGTCCCTGGCTTGCATGCCAGTTTTACAGCTTTCTTAGTTAATTGTTAATTAATTAGGAATTTGTACATTATTTGGACTGTAATATTTGGACTGTAATATTCTTTTATTCGGGACTGTAATATCCTTTTATTTGGGACTGTATATTTATTCGGACCCTCTGCGCGAGGGCACAACTGTAATAAGTGTGCGTGTGTGTGTTGTATGTCTTCCAACCCCACGTCTTTCTCCCTTTTATTTATCCGCTTATGATGGTTAGATTAGGGCATATTTCAATTAGCATACAGTATGATAGCATGTTTGCATTCATTCATCTGTTTTGCATGCACCGGGCTCGGCGCATCATACTAACTGCATTGTATTTTCAATTCCAAGTTGAATACATGCTAGCTGTAGCATTTCATATGCCATGTTTAGAATAGCCGAGCCTGCTATAGCTACATTTTTGTATGTGTTGCATTAGGCATTTCTGTATACTTAGGATCATGCATGATTTCTAATGAGGTTTCTGTTTTGGCTTGGAGTACTCTGTAAGTTTTATGCTTTAGCATCCTTGCATGCGTGTGAGTGACTGCCATGAATAGCATGCTTACCATGAGGCTATGATATGAATAGTTTCAATATTATAGTATCTAGTATTCATATTGACATAATATTTAATTATTTCATATTAAATTAGTTTGTGGTATTTAATTATTTTTATATTGAAATAGTTTATAATAGGGATTTTTTTAGTAAATTTCATTTTAAAAATATATTCATATTCTTTTTTAATATTCCATTAGATCATATGAGCGGGGGTGCTCACGAAGTGACCTTCCCCAATCGTACCCAAGTTCCCGAGCCAAGGCAACTTTGGTGATGACGGACACGTGGCCTTTTGGCACCGAGTCAGGGTTTCCTAAATTTCCCAAAATAAAATATTTAGGTGGCGACTCTGTATCTGGCAAAGCAGTCCATATTTGGCACTTCTTTCAAAAATCTGTTTTCTCAAAACGATTTGCCGGATTTGGACTCTTTGGTTCAGACTTAGAACCGTGACACTAATCGAGAGTCCGAGCTGTAGCGAGGTCCCCCGCGGGCTGGTTACAGTTATCCCTACCTCAAATTCGAAGCCCAAGAGAAGAAGATGAAGAAAACCAAAATGCTCCAAACTCCAAGATCCACGGATCAAAACGAAGCCCTCGACGATCAACACAACTTTTACAAAGGGCAAAGGGAAGGAAAGCACTCTAACTAGATCAAACCCTAGAGAGAAGGGAGTTTCTAGAGAGAGAGGCTCTCAAAATAACCTTTTAGAAAGTAAGAGAGAGAGAGAGAAAGCGTAGAAAGTGATTCAAAAGTGCCCAGCTACCCTCTGTTATACGACTTTCCCGCTCGAACGGAAAACACAACGCTCGAGCGTCAAGCACAAAAATCTGGACACGCTCGAGCGCAAGAAGTCCCGCTCGAGCGCCAAGACACAGGAATAAAGTACACCCGCTCGAGCGAGAAAACCAGTCCGCTCGAGCGTAGATTCCCCCTTCCCAGAACTTACACCGAAACAGAGCTACCCGCTCGAGCGCCAACAATCCCGCTCGAGCGCTACCCGCTCGAGCGCAAGAAACCCGCTCGAGCGTAGAAAACACATCTGCAGAAGTTTTGCAGGGACATGAAATACTGGAAGTGTGCAATCTCCGCTCGAGCGCCAAACGGCCCGATCGAGCGTTAAACCAGAAACCAAACTCCGCTCGAGCGCAGAATGACCCGCTCGAGCGTAACACCAAAAACCTGGCCAACAAGGATTTAGACCAAGGCTTAACCCACCTGATCAACACAAGCCCAACACATCCTAAAACTCAAACAAATGGATTTAAAGGATAGCAACGAGATAAATACAACTACCAACTCCACGGAACCGAGTCCGGAATACAACAGAACAGTAAAGGGACAACCGGGATCGCTATAGACTTTAAAATATTATCTCAATTTGTTTGAATTGGTCAAACGTTTAATGCACCTTTTGATTTTGTTATGCTATTAACATGTTGTTCATATCCCTTTACAATAAGTAATATGCATGATTCGGTTATTATTTTATAATCATTATAATATTAGTGAAGAATATTACTTCTTCCTGTATGCCATAGAATTGAATGATTATAAAATTATTATTTAAATAGACGGTTGGAGCATAGATTAAAAGCAATTTGTTGAATCATTCGGTTTATTAAAGAATTATGATTTTACCTCATCTGATTATATACACTTATTGTCTATTATTGTTGTTATTTATATATTTTCAAGATTTAAATTTGATATCATGATATAATTTTATGACATTGAATATTAAATATTGGAGTGGTTAATTCATATTAGGTGTAATTCTTATTGACCATTATATGAGATATTCATGATTGTTATATTACATAATTTGATATATAAATATTCATGTTCGTCTAGAGTTATTATTATTATTATATTGGTAATTGCAATCACATAAAAGAAATTCTAGAAATCATAAATAGTGATTTCATTAAAATAGTGATTGAATTAATGATAATTAAATAACTCAAATTAATGAATAGAGAATATTGTTGGTTAGTTCCGTATTCATAAGGTTTACTAATTTAGTAGCTACCAAAGTGGCCTAGATTTGTAAAACTTATGAATATAGAACTACATAAAAGAATTGTTGAAAGGGTAACATTAAGGTCGATAATATTCTCAATTGCAGTTATAATTAGGAGATGAAGACTAGCCCAAAGGAAAGTCACTTTTAAATAATTATGAACTGGGTAAGGTAATGTAACTTATGTAATTTGATAGATTATAATTGAATATCCAAAGGTAACATGACTAACAAAAAAGTTGCATAAATTACTTTAGACCTACATAAGTGATTTTTGACGAGTGGACAATAGATATACCTAAGTTTTGCCCAAAGGAATGACTTATGTGATATCAATAGTTCATCATAATTCTCAAAGCTTTAATATGTATATTGTTCTATCTTATTTCAGTGACAGTTCCCACCTCATTGCATTATCTTGCATCAGGCGTCCGTCTACTTACTAGCTCGAATTTTTCGGAATGGTATGAACATGTTCAGTTTACATTGGGTGTGTTGGACCTCGATATGGCATTGCTTGAAGATAAACCTACAGACACTAATGAATATAGTACTGCAAAACAAGCTGCCCTTTCTGAATCTTGGATAAGGTCCAATAGACTTAGTTTGATGTTCATGAAGATGACCATTGCAAATAACATCAAGACCTCCTTACCTCAAACTGTTAATGCATTGGAATACTTAAAGGTTGTTGAAGATCGATTTAGATCTGCTGACAAGTCACTTGCTAGCACTATTATAGCTGAATTGACAACAATGAAATATGATGGCAACCGAGGAGTTTAGGATCACATCCTCAATATGGCTGACAAAGTTGCAAAGCTTAAAACTTTAGAGATGCAAGTTGATGAAACTTTCCTCATGTAGTTTATTCTCAACCCACTTTCATCACAGTTTGGCACATTCAAAATTCATTATAACACCAATAAAGATAAGTGGAGTTTGAATGAGCTCACTAATATGTGTGTTCAATAGGAAATGAGGTTGAGGGAGGAAGGACATCAAACTGTATTGGCTGTAACTCATGGAGCTATAAAGAAAAAGAGGGATAAGTTTGTAAAATCAAAGAAAAATCCACCCAAGAAAAAGAATGAACCTAGGGAAGAAAATCAGGCTCAGAATGGTTTCACTATCAAGTGCTACTTTTGTGGCAAGAAGGGACATGTGAAGAAAGACTGCAATAAGTGAAAGGCTTCGTTCGAAAAGAAATGTAAGAAATTTTCTTTTGTTTGTTATGAGTCAAATCTTGCTGAAGTACCTTCTAATACTTGGTAGATTGACTCTAGGGCCACAACCCACATTACAAATGACATACAGGGATACCTCTCAACTAGGAAACCAAGGGAAAGTGAAAGATTTGTCTATATGGGGAACCGTCTCAAAGCTGAAGTCGTAGCTGTAGGAACCTATCGACTGATCTTAGAGACAGGTTTTCAAATGGATCTAGAAGACACTTTTTATGTTCCTTCAATTTCTATGAATTTAGTTTCGTCATCCAAATTAGATCGTGTTGGATATTCAGTTTTATTTAGTTGTGGAAAACTCAATTTAATGTTTAATTCAATAATAATTGGTTCTGGCAATTTATGTGATGGTTTATATAAAATTACCTTAAATCATGAGTTTGCACAATCATTAGTAACTCTACATTCGAATATTGGTTTAAAATGTGGTCTAATTAATGATAAATCCTCAATCTTGTGGCATAGGTGGTTGGGGCATATCTCTATAAATAGAATTGAAAAATTGGAGAAGAATGGGATTTTGGAAAACCTAGACCTCACTGATTTTGAGATGTGTGTGGATTGCATTAAAGGAAAGCAAACCAAACACTCCAAGAAAGGTACCACAAGAAGTAATGAGCTTCTTGAGATAATTCATATAGATATTTGTGAGCCACTCAACATCCCATGTCTTAGTGGTGAAAAATATTTTATCACATTTATAGATGACTTCTCATGTTATGGATATGTGTATCTAATTCATGAAAAGTCTCAGGCTGTTGACATCTTTGAGGTGTACATAACTGAAGTCGAGAGACAATTAGATAGAAAGGTTAAAATAGTGAGATTAGACAGGGGTGGTGAGTATTATGGTAAATATGATGAGTCTAGCCAAAATCCTGGCCCATTTGCCAAATTCTTAGATAAGAAAGACATTTGTGCTCAATATACAATGCCTGGTACGCCACAACAAAACGGAGTTGCTGAAAGGCGTAATCGTACACTTAAAGACATGGTTAGGAGTATGTTAAGTTACTCAATTGTACCCATTTCACTGTGGGGTGAAGCTTTAAAGACTGCAATGTATATGTTAAATAGGGTTCCTAGTAAGGCAGTCCCAACAACTTCTTTTGAGCTGTGGACTGGTAGGAAACCTAGTTTGAGACACTTACATATTTGAGGTTATCCAGCAGAGGCAAGAATCTTCAACCCACAAGAGAAAAAGTTGGACTCAAGAACAATATCTGGATATTTCATTGGTTATCCAGACAAGTCTAAAGGGTACAAATTTTATTGTCCTAATCACAGTACGAGGATAGTGGAGACTGGTAATGCTAGATTCCTAGAGAATGGTGAAATCAGTGGGAGTGAGAAAACACGAGTGGTGAATTTCGAGGAAATTAGGGTAGATGTGCCAACAGTTGACCCTTATCGAAAAGTTGTTGTTCCTCAGACTATTCCACAGGCTGAGGAAAACAAACAACATGATGAAAATCCTTCACCACCTCATGTTTCACCACTTCATGAAGATACCACCATTGAAAATATTGTAGAACCACCACAACCGGCAGTTCCGCAAAATTGAACATCATGGAACACAAGAACCCCCAATTCACTAAGTCATATGCCTTCTCGAAATCTAATTTAAGAACAACTCCTTTCTTATTGGATTTTTTCCACCAGTGCACCACCTCATAAATTGTTAAAATTCCATCGACAATACACGATATTGGGATTAACAAAGATCTAGTCTCATTTTCACAGGCCATGAATAGTGATGATTCTTCTAAATGGGTCAATGTTATAAATGAAGAGTTAAAATCCATGGAACAGAATAGTGTTTGGGATCTCGTCGAATTGCCTAATAATTGAAAAAAGGTCAGGTGTAAATGGGTCTTCAAGACCAAGCGCGACGCAAAAGGCAATATTAAACGATTTAAAGCCAGACTTGTTGCCAAGGGTTTTACTCAAAAAGAAGGCATAGACTATACAGAGACCTTCTCTCCAGTATCTAAGAAGGATTCGCTTAGAATCATCCTAGCATTGGTAGCTCATTATGACTTAGAGTTACATCAAATGGATGTGAAAATTGCTTTTCTGAATGGGAATTTGGATGAGGAAATTTATATGGAGCAGCCAGAAGGATTTCCAAAGAAAGGCAATCTGAAGTTTAGTGGGAGTAAGTTCATTATTTTAGTGCCATATGTGGGTGACATTTTGTTAGCTAGTAATGACTTTGGCTTATTGCATGAAACCAAGGAATATCTCTCCAAGAACTTTAAAATGGTCGATATGGGTGAGGCAAACTATGTTATTGGCATAGAGATCTTTAGGGATCGATCTCAAGAATTGCCAGGACTATCTCAGAAAGGATATATTGATTGTGTTTTGGAGAGATTCAATATGCAGTTTTGTTCAGCTGGTGATGCACCCATCATGAAGGGTGATAAATTAAGTGAAAAACAGTGTCCAAGGAATGACTTAGAAAGAAACAAATGAAGGACATTCCATATGCATTAGCAGTGGGAAGCTTGATGTATGCTCATACATGTACCAGGCCAGATATTAATTTTGAAGTTGGAATGTTGGAAAGATTCCAAATTAATCTTGGAATGGAACATTGGAAAGCAGTGAAGAAGGTTATGAGATATCTTCAGGGAACAAAGGACTATATGCTCACCTATAAGAGATCAGAACAGTTGGAAGTGATCGGATACTCAGACTCAGATTTTGCTGGTTGCCTTGATAGTAGAAAATCTACATCAGGTTTTGTTTTTCTATTAGCAAGTGGAGCAATTTCATGGAAGAGTGTGAAGCAGTCCACTATTGCTTCATCTACTATGGAGGCTAAGTTTGTGGCATGCTTTAAGGTTACAAATCATGCTTTATGGTTGCGAAATTTCATCTCAAGACTTGGTGTTATTGACTTAATTGCCAGGCCGCTGTAGATATATTGTGACAATACCGCAGTAGTTTTCTTCTCTAAGAATAGAAAGTACTACAGTGGTTCCAAACACATGGAAGTAAAATACTTAGTTATTAGAGAAAGAGTCCAGAAACAATAAGTGTTAGTTGAAAACTTAAGCACATCACTTATGATTGCTGATCCATTCACAAAGGGATTGCCACCAAAGACATACAAAGAGCATGTTATCAGGATGGGTCATTTAAGCAACCCATGATGTGCATGGTTAATCGTGAGTGCTTATTTTTATTTGATACTATTTGCGCAATAATAATTTTGTTTCTATTTTTTCTGTTTCTAAAAGTGTGTGCACACATTAATTTGAATATAGATAAACAGAAAATGTCTTTACAAGGAAAATTATAAGGTCCTTTCAAAAAAATAATTACATATTCCAATAATTGATTGGGTTGGAGAAAGTTATCGATGGTGTAGTGCATAGAAGGAAATATGACATAAATGTTATATAACCGCTATGACTCACATTGGTGATCTGAAGTAATCACAGTATTATAGTTTCTAATATATCTGAACTTATTGGCTATTTTTAAAATTCGTGATCACGTGTCAAAGTTTTTAGTGTGGAATCCAATAAGTCAAAAATTTTATAAATTGCATATTTTTTGGAAAAAACTCATAATTGCATCATAATCGGCTTAATGGGCCAAGTGGGAGAATATTGAATTTATTTTCTAGTGTGGGCCAATAGCCTACATATATCTACATGTTTTAATTTATTTAGACTCCACAATTAGATAAAGCCAATTTGATATAAAGTTTAGTAATTAGAATTTTAATATAATTACTCTTCTAAGATAAGAAGGAAACCTTGATGGATAGGAATTCTTCTGATAGAGTTTATCTGGCCATCTTCTCTCCTCTATATAAGGATGGGTGACTCCCCTTTCATATCATGAGTATTTTCCCATCACTCCAAGTTTTATAGTCATCCTAATTAAGAAAGACAGAGAGAAGAAGGTGAGCCAAGAATTAAAGGTTCAATTATTAGGGATATTTTCTCAACTTTTCTAATTCAATGACTGACAAAGGTATGTTCATTTTATTCTTGCGTTATATCGAATTCAATATCCTGTAAAGTTTAATTCCACATTATTATTATGGTTACATGTATTATTAAATCTTACACCTCCTTCTCTCAGTTTTTTTTTTTTTTTTTTTTTTTTTTTTTTTTTTTTTTTTTGCTCATATTTTTTTGGCTCAAATTTGTTGTTGTTGTTGTCGTTCATGGTGTTGAATTTTTTTCCCCCCTTCTAAATAGATCTGGAAATTATGTTTGTGTTTGTGAAATTAGAATAGTTTATAATGTTTTTATTGAATAGATTTGAATAAATTTGTATATGTGTTTGTTTTTGGTCTCTGTAAAAATATTTTTGTGTTTTGTTTGCGTACAATCTATTCAATTCTCTCTCTCTCTCTCTCTAGTGTTAGTTCATTCAAAAAATTGAATAGATAAAAATAGATGTTAGCATATAAGAAAAATTAGAATAAGAATTTCAACAAATAAGAAAAATCAACACAAGAATTTCAACAGGTTGAAAAAATTAAAGGGAGAAACCTACAGAATTTAAACAGATATAGAAAATAATTGAACAGATAAGGAAAAAAAATTCAATAGATAGATATAAATTTGAATAGACAGTCAAACAAATTTAAACAAATAAATATAAATTTGAATAGTCAAAAAATGTTAATAGATAAAATAAAAAAAAATATCAACAGATAAATGTAGGGGTAAAATTGAAAACATAAAGTCTTTCAAAATAAACAGAATGACCTCTCACTAAATTATTTCACAAAAGGTGAATCTCTCACCAACAAAAAATATTCAGTGAACCTAATACCTTATACTAATACATTATACTTTCCTTAGCTTAGACTTTTTCATAATTTTCCCTTTCTTAATTTCCTAAGAATTATTTGCAAGGAACCAATCATAAATATCCATGTAAAAAAGTAATACAAAATAGTCACAAAAATTCATTGAGATATAGCATTTTTCAAACAGATAAATATACATTCATTCTCTAAATTTTATTATAGAAGCACACGATTGTAGCACAACACCATACTAGGATGATAAGGTGACTGGCACGATCAACACCGCACAAACACATGCGATGCGAACCATATAAACAAAACAAAAGGAGAGACTCATGTTGCTAAGCAAAGCATAATAAACCATGACAAGTTTGAATTGAATTGTTCTAAGGATAAACCTCAATGAGAGACCTCAAACCCAGAATGGGAGTGATTTTATAGTCACTAAAACCGGCATCGAAGAAGAGCTTGGCCCATTCTTGCTCAGTTCTCTCCCTGCCTGTGTACAAAATCATCATAAGCATGTCCAAGAGGAGTTGTGTTTCCATTGACTCGTCATGATCTCCTGCTTTCTGGTTCTCAACTTTCATGTCTATGATAATCAGCTTTCCTCCTTTCTCTTTGTTGCTTCCAATTGCTTCTTTACATCTCTTCAGTATTTTTATGCACTCCTCATCGCTCCAATCATGCAATATCCACTGTTTGCCATTATTCGTACACAAAATTAGCATTCCTAAAAACTATCTTTTGAAGCACTTTGTTTGAATTTCAAAATTGTAAAGTTTCTACTTTATTTTTCTTTTTTCCTTTATTTTATTTATTTATTTATTTCTAAAAATATCTTCACAAATTCAACATTTAAACACAACTTTAAAATAAAGCATAAACTGCAACCCCCAAAAAGGCAATCCATAATCCTGACTATAACATTAAGTTCAGATTGAGAGGTTTAGTGAGAAAAGAAAAGAAATGAAGATAATGAATTTTCTTATCACTTGTTTAGATGATTAATGAGGTAAATAAAAGTAACTTCAAGGGGTTGTCCTAGTGGTCATGGCTTGCGGCTTGGGATTGTGGTCCCTCCATGGTCTCAAGTTTAAAATCTCGTAAGTACAAATAATTTTTCAAAGTCAATCAGTATGGCGCTTTTGCCTTGGCTTTAATTGAGAACATTGCTAGTAAATGGTAGGATTAGTCCTCCGGATTAGTCAGTCCAGTGAGCCAGGTATTACTCCAAACTTAAGTTTTGTTTCTCACCAAAGTGGTGAGATTTGTAAAAAAAAAAAAAAAAAAACCCAAAATTATTGTTTATAAAAAAATTATTATACCTAAATTACCCCTCTAAACACAAACCAAATGAAATAAAATGACATATGTATCCTCTTTTAATCATTATCCATCCAAATAAGGTGAGAAATTATAATAATTTCTTTTATTCTCTCACAAAAACTCCAATCAATTTTTTTTTTTTCTCTCATCTCACATAATATAATGTTTCAAGCCATCAAACTGGATTAAATTTTTGTTCTGTTGAAGTTTTTTCTCTCTCTTAATCAAAAGCACCTTTAATGTAAGATTACAAGATTTATGTAGTAGGCATTGAAGTGTTGTGATCAACGCATCTAAAAAATTGATTGGTCTAATATCACATTGTAGTCACTACAATAAATGAAGATTTTAGAAATAAAAATTTAAAGACAAAATCAACTTGTGAGAGTGTCATTATTGTACTTTTAGCAACAAAATTTAGAAATTAATGATGAGTTATTATTCTTTTGGGACTAATATTTTTTGAATAAAAAATAAATGCTTTTGGAATCAATTTTTTTTGTTCCTACAATACATTTATTAGCGATATTTTTAAAATTGTGTCACTAAAGCCCTGTGTTTGACTTTTTTAGACGACCTTTTAGCAACTGTTCTTGTAAAAACAAGAATTCTTCCCTAAATATTTTTTGTAACAAAATTTTTACTCCGAAGGACAAAAAAAAGTTTAATTACTAAAACTCTTATATGTTATAGTGATGTTATTGACCACCAACTCATTTAAAGATTTAACTTGTTAGGAAGATAGTAACTTTATTAGTTACATAATGTTATATTCTCAACAGTTATATGGACTTCTCTTCTCAATTTAGACTCTATTTTAATCTTACATTTTAGTAGGAATTTATACCCAAAACAATATACATTGAAGATAAAGGGTAGGATAGAAAGTGAGTTTTCACTTCTATATGTAAGGAGCCTAAACCAAGCACCCAGTAGTGAATAATTCTATATATACTAAAACTTTTCTTAAAAAATATGAGAGATTAAATAAAATTTATTGTCAAAAAAATAATAATACTTGAACATCTAATGATGTTTAGACATATACCTTTAGTAAGAATTTTAGGACACACAACATTGTTCCCCAGTAATAAAGAGTGGGGTAGAGAACTTGTTTCAAATGAATTTTGAAATTCTGACTCTCTCTTCTTACGTAAGAAGGCAAAAATAGAAAGGTTATTGAAGATGTTATACTTGTCAAGCACAATTTTTGTAAGCATCAATTTTCGAAGGAAAAATGATATAAAAGCTTATTTTTTAGACTTAGTGATATGTAAGAGATATGATTAGTTAATGATTAGAAATTTTTTTAGATAAAGTGTTGTCTTAGATATTTAAATTGATTGTCATGTCATTGAGTATAAAAAATTGATCCATCATTTGGATTACAATAACAGTGCTCCTTTGGAAGGGCAATTACTAGTTTTTTGCACATTAAATTGTGATTATGAAAGACGAGTCTGGCTCCTCTCCAGTTCACAATCGAACCGGAGGGTGCAATTGGACCATGGTGGGCTCAAATCCTAGCCCATTTCGATGATCAAAATCATTCAATGTGTAAAATTCGTCAAGTACATTATTCTTGTAAAAACTTAACTTGATTAGATATCGATAACCATTTGATCAGATCACATTTTTATCCACATTTTATTTTTAAAATCGTACTTGTCGTTGACTGAAATGTGGTTCAATTAAAATGGCTATCGATATTCAATCAATGTGAGTTTTTGGAGGAATTATATACTCGACAAGTTTTACACATTGAACGGTTTTGATCATCAAGATGAGCTTGGATTTGGGCCCCATTATGGCCGAAGAATAGCCTTCAATCTGATTACGAATTGGAGAGGAGCCAGACGCATAAAAGATATAAATGAAAATGGAACTGAAAAATAGAGCAATGCTAATAACACTAATATCTCACATAATATTGTATCTACTTTGTATGTTAATTGGTACACTAGTTAATATTATTTGTAACATTATTAAATAAAACAAAGCCCCCTTCTTCGATTTTATGTTGTTTTTGTCTTTGTCCAAGAATAATTATTAAACATTTGAAAATAGTTTTATTTTTGTAATGCCTTCATTTTCTAATTTTGTTTTCAATTATTATTATGTTCTTTAAAAACCGGAAATGAAAACTTGTTTGATATATTATTTTCGTATTAAAAAAAACAGAGTAGATTTCAAAATTTTTTGAAAAAAAAAAATGTGGTTTTACTTGTTTTCAAATCAAACTTTCGCTCTCCTTGTTCTCTCACTACCTCCATCCATCACCCACCACTACCTATCGCCGGACCAGCCAGCTACCGACAACTTTTGTTAGATCGAAAAAAAATTCAACATAAAACAAACTTATTTGGAAGAAAAATATTAACTTTAAATGATGAAAAAACATTTTTTTGAACTAAAATCATAGTAATACCATCACCCCATCATTACTAACCACCATACCATAGTTGTTGCTATCACCAACTCCATTACCACCACCTTTGCCACTCCAACCATTACTACCTCCACCACTTCTACCAACACCACCTTGCCATCCCCTTCACCACTCGCACCACCACCACCATCACTAACTTGCTACCATCACCACCCCCGCCACACCACCTCCACAATCAGTACCACCACTGCCCCCCACCGCAATCACCGTAACTACCACCCCACCACCACCACCATGCCACCTCTACCTCCACCACGACTACTAATACAAATACTGGCACATTAGTTTAATTTCAAGGTTGTAGCCAAACATGAAAAAATATTTTTTTTATAATTTTTTTATATAAAAATTAAATTTTCTAAAAAAATGTTTTTTATTAAAAAAATCTTCACCTAAACAAACAAAGCGTTACCTTTAGTAAAACTGCATCTGCAGAAGGAATAGCCTCAAACATATCACCCCCAACATAGTTCAACTTGTCAGTCCCTTGCAAGCCGGAAACCACATGTGGGAGATCCAACACAGTGCACTTCAAGTTTGGGAAAGCATCAGCAATGGCCTTTGCCACTGTGCCCGTGCCACCTCCAACATCAACCAACGAGTGCAAGCCCTCAAAAACCCCCTTACAGTCCTTAACAAGCACCTTTGCGACTAACCGGGCATCACTAGCCATTGCTTCATTGAAGAAATGGTTCAGCCTTGGTTCATGTTGCCCATATTCCCAAATCGTCCTTCCATGAGCTGTGCCAAACGGCGTGGGATCGCCATTTTGGAACCATTCACTCACATGATGCCATGGCTTTGTCAAGATTGGATCTAACATGGCCAACAAAAATGGGGTGGCGCTCAATGGCTCATCTTTCAGTAGGAGCCGAGAGGCCGGTGTGAGCAAATAGCCGTCTTGTTCTTCCTTCGCATTTTCGGAGAGCTTCTCCTCAGTAAAGAAGCCGGAATGCACGAGGATGCGCATGAGGCGGTAGACACACTGGGCTTTGGAATGGTTGATTGGAAGAGCTGCGACGAGCTCCGAGAGAGGCATGGCTCGGCCATGTTTGTAGATTATGTCTGGTATGCCTAGTTGAATTGCACATTTTAGTGACATAGAGTTTATGAAGTTGAATATGTGGTTCCATATGTGAGCTTGAGAGTTGAGTAGCTCTATCCGTCGTTCATCATTGGTCATATCCATCTTATTAAGATATGCCTTATTATGCTTCATGTACAACGCAACTCTTGCAAACATTTATATCTATATATAACAACTTCAATAATGTGCATAGCAGCACCATGGGCACATAAAACAAAAAAAAACGTGTTTCATGTTTCGTGATGTAATTTTTCTTTTCCATCAATAAAGTCTTTTTTCGCGGATCAAAAAAAAATGGGCACATAAAACAAAAACGTGTTTCGTGACAGCTTTTACTTTTCTATATATTTCCGATAATTAAGCGTGTAGATGATAAGTATTGAAATGGGTGGACCAACAACAACAATGCAAGCACTAAAACAACAATTAATTATGTAATTTATGTAGCAAGTGATCATCTTTTCAATTTGTATTGTTGGATTATGCTTCACATGATTCACGTTTGAGACATTCTATTTACACCCTAATTTTATTTCTTTACACCTATTTTCTTATTACACTATTAAAAATAATTAAAATTCTTATTATACGCTTTATAATATCAAAACTAATCCTAAATTAAACCCTTAAAGATTTTTCTCATTACACCTATTATTTTTGAATTACATAGTATTATGTTACCAAATAAATTATATGTTTCCATCCATTTGTTGTTACACGTTTACATATTCACTTTCCTTAAAATATCATTTTTTTTTTCTAAATTTATAATGGGCATGTTTAGTTATACATTGCCAAACAATTTTTATTATTCCAGTGTAATATTGCCGAAAAAATTAGATTTGTCCAGCCATTTGTTCTGCACATTTACATATTAACTTTCCTTAAAATATCAACTATTCATAAAAAAATGAACTGTACAAACATCTATAAAAACACACTGAGATGTTATCACAATCCATATATATTAATAGTTTCGGTAGTTACTACATTAGAACTGACAAGTGTACGAAATTGATCAATACAGGTAGTATGTGTTTTCTCCCATCGATTAGTACATAAGTGACGAAAACGAATCCAATTACTTACTTTTTGAAGTAGTGGATGACCAGGAAACAGATAAATCTAACAAACCATTAACAATGCACTACTAGCCTTACTGCAATGAGTATAAGTTGTGAAAGGACGAAATTTTCCCCACAGGGAAAGCGAGATAAGCTATTCCTTCCTATGCTCTGCAAAAAGACACCAAGTCGTCAATGATCACTACCGACCATATTTGGTCAGGAGAATCCTCCTACGGTCAAGTCATAATAGTGTTTTGGCATATTTTATTGAAACAAAAGACTAAGTTATATTGTTTTTTACTTGCCTCTTTTTTGTTATTTCTAGTCCTTCATTTTATAGTGTAAATACCTTGTATTTAGGCCGTTAGATGACTGTTTTGATCTAACGGCAATTTATGTCCCCAGACCTTGGTTGGGCAAGTGGTCAAGTTATCTCGATTTGTCACCATCGAATTTGTTTCATTTTGGATGGCTTGGATTAGTTCGGATACTTATTCCTATCTTTGACCATCGAATTTTGCTTATTAGATGATCATGTTGTTAGGATATACTGATCCTACATCCCTATCTCTATCAATTCCGATCTCCATCGAGATTACAAATAGATCTAAGGGCTCTCCTTTGTACTACAAATTTCCTTCCAAAAGGCGATCTTATTCAAACCTTTGGTCATGTGACTTTGTCTCTTCTTTGGATGGGCTTAACAGAGGTTTGGGCCCAGCCCTTATTTTCGAGCTACTTTGGCTGGGTTAAATGCTCTGGGCCATGCATCCATTCCTTTGGGCTCTAGGCTAATATTTTTACCTTCCACAATTTCCCTCCTTCGCACACATCTCTTCTCCTCAGTTGATCAAATTTTACAAACCCCGAAAATTCCTTCATCTTCGTTTTTATCAAAGTTTTCGAAAAGTGCTAAAAAATTTTGGTCAATGCAATGATTTAGAGGCACAGAGAAGTAGGCAGAATCTATAGCACTTTATTCACAAGAGACTCCAACTCATGGATGACAATAGACTCAAAATAGAACAACAAAGAAGACGTAGGTAGGATAGAGATGTCTAAGTTAGCACTCTCGAAATCAACAGATTTAGACTCATATAAAACTTAGACTCAACATTTAGTTCATAACTCAAAATAAAAACCATTCTCAATAGTTAAAGTGTAGGCCATCAATGACATCTATGATGAAATTTATGCAATTCACGGGTGGTCCATCCCCAATCCCAGAAATGGTCACATTATCTCCCGAGTTTACTGGTCCCGCGCTACTCTCAAGATCTATCATAGATTCAGCCAGTGCCAGACCCAGACCCAGACCCAGACCTAGAATGTCTCCTGTGCTTTTTTGTTGTATGATCATTCCATGGCTCGAGAAAACCACAAAGAGGGAAGTGCATGCCCGAGAGAATATCTACCATAACATCCAATTCTGGCTCCAAAGCATCTACCACCACAGGGTTTTGGGGTTTTGGTTGGGATTGAGGTGCATATATCATGAATAAATCAGTGCTCTCTAGAATAAACACCTCGGGCTTGGGCAAATGGGAAGGTGTGATGTATATACTAGGGTTGAAAGAGGGTGGTAGTGTATGGATGAGGTTGAGTTGGGAAGGCAGTGGGGCTTGGTCATGGGGTGGCAATGGGTTTGAGATGGCTTTGGCTCTTTGGGGTGGAGCTATGATCCTATTATCAATAAGATCTTGAATCTAATAATGAAGTTGGATGCAACAGTCAGTATCATTACTATATTGTTGGTGGAAGGCACAATACTTGGTAGGATCATAACTATGTAGAAGTGGACTAGGAAGGGGTTGGAGATCAAGGAGCTTGAGGTGCCCATTTTCTACTAAAATTTTCATGGCACGAGTTGGAGACATGTCGAGAGGGTGAACCATTCGAGTTTGAGGTCGGGTTGAAGTGGTTGGTTATGGGTCAACATCAGTAAAAAGGTTGGCCATTTTGGTAAAAGTGGTGACAGTATTGATCTTTGAGGGCATGGAATTGGCAATTGTGCTACTACTGATAGTAGTATTGGAATTGCGAGTAAATGTATTTCTCACGGGCTCATTTCCTTTTATACCGATTCCCTATTTGATAGCATCTTTAATTTGAACCCTAATCTCATAGAGGTCCTTGAAATTGAAGAGTGGGAGAACTATCATATTTTGTGGTAATCTTCCATGCAGATTCTTGACAGCCATGCGGACTTGATCTTTTTCTAAGGGTCAGTTTCTCATCATGGTTGTCTTTGCCCTTCACTTGGTGATAAATGCCATGAAGCTCTCGTAGGGCTCTTGTCGGGTCACCTTTAGTTCTCGAGTGGCTACTTCAATCTGTGTATTATAGAAGCATTGTATGACAAATGTTTCAGCTAACTCCTCCCAGTTTTGCTTGACCAAATCATCTAACTTGGCATACCAAATAGCAGCCACTCCTGACATCGTTCTTCTGAATAAGGAAGGCTTTTGAGCACTAGATAAGCCCATAGGCTTCAAAATATCTGAGAAGAGGCGAATATAAACCATAAGATCACCAACCCATCAAATCTATCTAAGTACAACATTTTGAACCGCTCAGGAAACCTCACAGTTGTTTGTATAAGACCATCCTCGATGTCTAGAACAGAGTTGATCCCTTGTGATTTTTTTGAACATTTTCTCTAATTTGGATATTTTTAGCACTGCTGGGTCAACTTTATTAATATCTGTGGAGAAAAATCCTCTTATTGGCTTAAGATCTTCTTGCAGCTTAGGTTCATGAAGTTCATCAACTGGGAGAGGTAGTTCTAGATCCAGATAAACCACTGGGGGTGGATGAGATGTAGATGCCCTAGATGGGTGTTACAATTCGATAAGAGCCTCACTGTTGGCGACAACCTTGTTAGTAAGAGCATCCATGCTTTTTTGAAGGGACAAAAGCATGTTTGCTATATCTGTTAGAGAATGATTCGTTACTATATATATCACCACTAGAGGTGGATCCATCACAGATTTTAGAAATTTCGGGTGGAGAGGTACTAACTGTGAGGTTTTAACTCTTCTTCATGTAATCGGCAGCAGAGAAACTAACACTAATTATCCCTGAAACATATCTGTCTACCAGCGCGAGTCCACAAAACTTGAGGGATATTAGACCATTCTGAAGCTATAGTACTACGACTTCCTAGCAAAATAAAAAACAGAACTCCCAATCAAAATTTCAGCAGCATTTTGGCTCAACTGATCACTGCTAAAACTGAACTCAACCCCACAAACTGAAATGCTTGAACCACTCATCTGAATTTGAGAATCCCTATGTAGACCCCATACATTACACACAGCACATAGTAGGAAAGAGAACAAACACCCCTATGCGAGGTAGGGTTACCCTGTCCTATCTTTGAAATGGTCTAGAGCTTTAAAAAAATATATTGGATTAAAATATGTTGATATTTAATATTTTGTATATAATTTATTAATAGTGGCCTAAACTTTGTGTAAAAATCTGTCTATTGTTCGGTTTGATTATTCAATAATTATTTTTAGATGAATTTTTATTTGTTTTTAGAGATTTTTAGCATTTGATTCTTATGGCAATGTCAAGTGTAATTCAGTCAAAAGGATTTATGTCAGCTAGCCTGATTCAAAATAACTATTTTGATGATACAGTTATAATGTAACGGGTTCCAAGCAGAGCGGGTTGGACTGATCCACACTTCTCGAACCGATATCTGAATGATTAAACCCACCAGAGAACCTGCACACGAGTTCAACGGGGAATGGGGAGTCCCCCAGCGAACCCTCCGACGAGCAAGTTAGAGAGAGAAGTAGAGTGTGGAGATGAATTAGAGATAAAAAGCTTAACCTTCTTCTTGTCTTCAACGTTTGCTTATATCCTTTGGTAATCATTTCGTTGTCCCTTCTAACCTGTCCACTTTGGCCAAAAGTCTATGATGTGGCTTACCTTGTTCAGGGTAAGGGTGTGCTGTCCCAACGGGGAGGTGTTGTCGTAATAAATGCAGTGAGGGGCTGCATTAATGGCGATGTGCAGTGGCAATAACTTTGCAAATCCTTGACTGCTGATGTGGCTTGCCCTTTACCTGCCATGTGTCTGAATATCATTGGT